CCCCCCCCCCCCCCCCCCCCCCCCCCCCCCCCCCCCCCCCCCCCCCCCCCCCCCCCCCCCCCCCCCCCCCCCCCCCCCCCCCCCCCCACGGCACTGTGTGTCGTCACATGTCTTGTTTCTGATTTTGCGCGAGTTTCTCGCTATGTTTTTTTCTCTCTCTCGTCTTTATCGTTGTTTCTTTGTCGCTTTGGAAACTGAATTAATTATGTTTGGCGCGTCTCGTCAGTTGATACATTTTGTTCTCTCTCTGAGAGCGTGTAAAATTATTACAAGAGCTTAAAGATATACAATACATTATTTGATTCTATCTAAAATATCAATTATGAAAAGAATCATTATTCAGTTATAATCTTAATAATTGTATGATACTAACATTGCCGAATTAACTAACATCGCAGGGGAGGGGACCTTCGTTCAGGCGTGTATATAGATAATATTAAAAGTAAAATTAATACCAATTGTAATCGAATTTAGATAAATCGGTTGAATTCTATTTGACAGAAGTGCACCTTGTATACCCAAAATATTCCAACGAACTATTTTATCTGAACATGACATATGTCGAACATGTTGACCATTTCGAATAGCATCAAGAGATAGAATAGTACTTTTTGGATCGGTTGGAATTGTTCCTTCACCTTAAATTACTTTATTTTTAATAAAAGAAAAACAATAAATATTGAAAATGCATACAAACCGTTTTCAAATTTAGAACGGAGTTGACCTTGTACACGTGCAGTTCGATGTAATTCATGTTCATTTTTTAGTGTTGCTTCAGTTATTTTATCTCGAGGAGTGAATAATGCTGAATCACCACATGGTGCGAATGATGTATAAAAGTGAATATGTATTGTAGATTTCAAAACTAATCTGTTGTCATCTGCTTTTTCAAATATTGATTCCTTATTTTTTTGAAAAGACTCTATTTGTCCATATAGATATCTAAAAAATAATAATGTACAAAAATATATCGAACAGATTACTATTTAAAAACCTTATAAAGCCTCGACGAGCTAATTGTTCAGCGTGACTGTCATGAACAACTAAGCCTGTTGTTGATAATACTGAGCCACCAGCACATTTGTTACCTGTAAATTAATGATGAAAACTATTCTATCATATTCAAAATAAAAATACTACGATGAAAATTTGATCTTATCATCAAAACATGAAAGGCTATGACAATTACTTAAAAATTATCACCTACGTAATACAATACCATCTCAATTTCAAAGCACAGATAGCATAAAAATTAACTGCTCCATATCAAATAACTGATATAGAATCAAGGAAAAAAATGAAATTCTCACTCACACTAGCTGATTACCATAAATTTTTGTAGACTGCATGTGAACCAGAACAAATATTTATTAACATTATTTCAATGGACGTCACCATCAGACTATCTGTCTTAGTTTAATGCTAGTTTGTTAGAAATATTTACAATATACAAAACAAAGATCTGTCACGTAGGCATTTTAATTGATTATTAAAAAAGTTCTAAAGGATTTCTCATGAATCAATCATGCACCAAAGGCATTCACTTTTCATGCAATCTACAACGTTAAATTATGATGTTTTAAGAGGATATGTAACAAACAAGCATCAACTCTAATACTTGATATAACAATCCGAAGTAGTCTATGTGAACTTCATTCTATAGATTCAATTTTAGTTTATTGTGAAAGAGTATCCTAGACTGTCTGTGCTGGCTAACAGGAACGTATACTTTTATTCGTATTTGTTATTTTAAAGAAAAAAAGAAGATGATTAGCTAAATACCTTGAAAGCTCTTTAAAAAGGACATTCGCATAAAAAGATTGCTTTTTTTGTATCATAATAATATTAATTATAATAATAATACTAGTAACACTTAATTTACAAAATCGGCTCTACTCAGCACTACAATTGCACGAGAGCTTTCAAGCAAACAAAATGTAATATACTACAATGAAGTTTTTTCGGGAATTTCGAGTTGTGCAATCAGAAGAACACAAAGATAGAAAAGAGCGGAAAAGCTCTCCCGTTTTCTTTTCTCATAATAACATATTCTTTCAGAAAAACGGTGACGGAAATCATCACAAATTTTCAGAATAAAAAAAGAAACGTACCAAACAAAGAAGTCATATTTTTTATAATGGAATTAATCTCATACTATTTTTTCATAGATTTATCTCAACTTTCATATTTCTAAAGTAAAAGTGATTTTGGAAAGGTAGCAGAAGGGTTAAATGAAACCTTTTCTCTATATGACATGATTGTAAACATCATACATAAATTTCTACATTTCCCTAATATTTGATTACTCATCAAGCAAAGTTACAATCATAAAATTCTGATAAGAGCTTTGAATTACAAGATTCGTCTTTAACGCACGACTTTTTCTTGGTTTTCTTTGTCACTGTTCTTATTTTTTTCTCTTCTTTTATTTTTTTCTCTTCTTATTCTGTGCCTAACCATCTATAAATCTAACGCTATACAAAAGCTGTGTTGGTAGAGGAAGAAAGAAATAGAGAAACGAGACTATCAAGTACCATGCAAATTTTCGGCTCTTCGACATAATCAAGCCAAATCTAAACAATCAAAAGTGATTGCGAGTGGTTGCATCTGGTTGTAAACAGCTTTATGAATTCTCTGATGAAAGAAAAATGCAAAAGCCTTTTAACAAATAGATTGAATGAATACAATTGAATATGAATAGCTAGGCTCGTTACTTGTAAGGATCTTTATGAAATAGCAACTTGAAGAACTTATTTCTTTATTTTTTGTTTTTTCGTACTTCTATTGGTACTGTTGCTCAACTCTAACAGTAATGAGCTCCTATGTGTTAATCAGAGAAGATAAGAATAAGAAAAGAAAAGAAAAGAAAAGAAAAGAAGAATAAAAAGAGAAATCATCTAGAGCATGCAAATTACAGGGGATAATATCTTATCGCCAATTCATCATTTCACCAATTGTAGTTTTCGCTAATTGGCGAACATTCACTAGTAATTCGCCAAATAGGCGAATGTCACACTAGAAATTCGCCAATACGAGTGGGTTAAATCGTGACTCTAGTATAATACTTGATATTTTTAACATACAAACTAAATTAGTTTAGAAGCGCTATTTTTTAGGCTACCCCCTCCTGATTACATACATTAATGAGTTAAAAATAGTTCTAATTAGAAATTAGATTAATTAGTTCGTTATTTCTTCTATTTTTTTTTTTATTGCAGAGCATATGAAAAAAGCAAGGCCTACCCATTAAAGATATGAGCAATACACAGGAGCTACCATAACAGACCATAGCAACCAGGTATGAGTACTATTAGAGAAGTAGTCTCGGTTGTCGCTAGAGATACGAGGAAACAAGTAACCCTCCATTACTGGTATAAGCAAATAGGTAATGCCCTAATTATAGATTTTTGAGATTAAGAGAGATTTTTCATTAGGTATTTTGCATTAGTTTAACACGTCTAAGGGACGTGTGCGAGTTCCATAAGTGAGTCCCGAAGGGACTGAGCTAACAAACGTTATCATACAACTACCACAGTTCTTTCTTTATTTGAAATAAAAATGATTTCATAAAACTAAGCTTAAGTCGTACATTCAACGATTACAAATGGCGAAATTACATAGACTCAAATTAGAGATAGAATTCTGATTTAATATTACTGATACTCATCTTCACAAATACATCCTATAGAAATTTCATTAATATGGTATTAATTGAATACTGATCGAGTCGGAGAAATCTAAAGCACTATTTTTAATCACAGAGTACAAGGAGGGAAATTTTTTCGACAATTTTTATGAAGACTCAAACTATCTCTACCGTTTTCTTTTTGTGTGGTCTAAGTATATATTAATTTTAATTAAGTTAATAATATCTATTATGACTTCATATAGAATGATATGCATAACGATGACGGACTATACTTGAGTTACTCTCTATGACTGTAATTCATGACAATTGATATGCTTCGAAGATCTTAATATTCAAACTTAAGAATACACAAAAGAAAGTAGAATACAATTAAATGAATTTATTATAACGAAGCCAGAAATGAAGTTGATTCAATTGTCTTCTTGATTGCTATCATAGGGCATGGAGTTAATCGAGAACAACTTTTACTTTAGAATATACACTGTTTTTACCTGTTGCCAAACTAATAACAGTAAATGTTTGTTCGTCGATTTTTTCTATAATAAACCCAGCAAGAACTTTACAACCAATTAGTTCTAGCGGTACACTAATACATAAATCACGATATGTCGATAGAATTTTAGATGCAATATGATCAAACAGTGTACAATCCCTGTTTGTGGTGAATCTCTAAGAAAACAAAGGAGAGAAAAATCAAATATTTGTATTTTAAATAAAACTACAATCAATATTACTAGAGATTGTCTTGCATCAAGTGATAATTGATAAAACGTTTTATTAGCTGCTTCTATACAGGCTTCACGCTTTGTTGACGCAAATCCAGCTGAAAATTGTCTATCACCTAGAAGAACCGCTATTGCGAAACTAAAAAAATTACAGATAAAAAAAGAAGTAAAACATAACAATAATTTTGATTATATACTCACTTACCTTGGCTGATGATTTTGTCCAGATTGAGAAATTACTTGAAATGATAGTTTTTGCCCATTCAACTGAGCATATTCATTCAAAAGAGACAAAGAATTTTTAGATAAAATAGTTATTGATGGATCTAATTTTAAATCGAGTATGAAATCTTCATAAGATTGTTCAATTGTTTGAATTTCATCATTGTCATTGCTGATCATTTGTAGCGTCTAAGTCAGAAGTTTATAATGATGTATTTTCTTATATTTAAATGACGTATAATGTTCATCAGGCATGAATTCACTAGATTCTAGAACGACGAGGCAGCATTTTGCAAAAGCTTACGATCAAATAAACGTGTGTTTAGTGGCATGGTAGATCAACGAAGAAACGATGAGCTCATGCGTAAAAGTGATACATTTCATGAAACAAATTTTTGCATTAACATAAAACTTGATTGTTGCGTTTATAGAGAAAAAGAATTTGTCATAAGCCTCTTTCCATAATAGAAAACTCGAAGTCTGATATTGTAGGGAACGAAAAGGGGGCGGAAATCTACTATATTTGCTTAATCAATCTTACTTTCGACGTGTAGATTTTTTAATTTTATTCAAAACGCTTTGTCTATTTCCTTGATCATTCAGTTACTCTAAATAATTAGATTTAAATGATGCTTAACTGCAGCGATTAAAAGCTTATTTATGAAAATCATCGATGGATATAAACACCGAGACACTGATTTTCTTGGATTTTTTTTAAAGATTAACAGGTAGTCATCAGTAGAACGATACTGCTTTTAGAAGTTCTATACTCGAAGTTTTATTAAATTACGTTAAATTTGTAATTGAAAACTTTCTGAATTTTGATAGTTTATTTAACTACTGTTTGATTTCGTGTTTGCAAACAAAAAAGATTGTTATCGACATTGCTTTATAGAGATAATATAGAAATCAATAAAATTTATCAAATTAGTGTTATTTTTATGGGGAAAATAAATGAA